CGCGCCATTGCGCTCCAGCCTGGGTAACAAGAGCAAAACTCCGTCTCAAAAAAAAAAAAAAAAAAAAAAGAAAATCCGAAGTAATTTGAATCTTAACGTCTCAAGGAAATGACAATGACTGGAGTACATTTTTGTTTGTTTGTTTTGTTTTCTTAGAGATGGGGTCTCACTGTGTCGCCCAGGCTGGAGTTCAGTGGTACCATCATAGCTCATTTGCAGCCTCCACCTCTTGGGCTCAAGCAGTCCTCCTGCCTCAGCCTTCATAGTAGCTGGGACCACAAGTGCATGCCACCGCTCCCGGTAATTTTTTAAAATTTCCATAGAGACGGGTGTTTCACTATATTGCCCAGGCTAGTCTTGAACTCTTGGACTCAAGTGATCCTTCTGTCTCGGCTTCCCAAAGTGCTGGGACTACAGGCCTGAGCCGCAGTGCTTGGCTTAGGATACATTCTTAATTCAAACCAAAATGTCCAAAATTTTTAGCTTCCTTTCTTATCAAATTCATTCGTTTGTATCTCAGGGAATTCTTCTCCAGTCTTCAAAACCCATTTCAAGAATCACTTCCTTTAGTATTAATAATTTTCTTGGGACCATTTTAAACCAAACTAATCTCTCCTTCCTATCTTTGAATTCTTATAATAACTTTTTGTTTCCCATTTATAAGGTGTTTGGTTTATTCATTAAATCTGGGCAGGGCAAGTGGCTTACATCTGTAATCCCAGCATTTTGGGAGGCCGAGGTGGGAAGACGGTGTGAGGCCAGGAGCCTGAGACCAGCCTAGGCAACAAGGTCAGACACTGTCTCTACAAAAAAAAAAGAAAAAACCAAAAACCCACGCCAAAAAAACAAACAAACAAGAACAATCCAAAAAACTAGCCAGGCATAGTGGTACATGCCTGTGGTCCTAGCTACTAGGGAGGCTGAGGCAGGAGAATTGCTTGAACCTGGGAGGTGAAGGTTGCAGTGAGCCAAGATTGCGGCACTGCACTCCAGCCTGGGGACAGAGCAAGACTCTGTCTCAAAAAAAAAAAAAAAAAAAAAAAAAATTGCAATTATCTGTCCAGAAACTAGAACAAGTTATTAATGAGGATGTCTCTGAACTAAGAAGTGAATAATATTGGAGATACGCACTGGTCCAGAAGCACTTGACAAAGCTAAGGCATTGGCAGTAGGTGCTGGAGGACATCATGTGCAGCATAAAAAGCTAGCCAACATCCGTCAAGGCTCCTTGGTCTACGTTGAGCAGGTATTCTATATTCCTGCACCTCTGAAATGGACCTGGGCAAAAGGGTAAAGGCTGTTGGCCTGAGAGTGGGCAGGTATGGGAGACAACCCTGTGCAGATGGTTTGCCACACATCCCTTCTTGTGGACTTGGCATTTTGGAAGAACCCTTTGCCAGAGGATGAGATGATTTTAATTTTATGCTCCCACCTAAAATTGTTTCACTGTTTTTATAAGGTGTTAATTTCTTGAGTACTTTATAATATGCCTGTAGCTTGGGTAAACCATGTAAACTTTTTTTTTTTTTTTTTTGGGAAAAAGGAAAGAGAAAGAAAAAAGAAAGAGAAAGAAAAAAGAATGAAAGAGAGAAAAAGGAAGAGAAAGTGAGAGAGGGAACAGGAGTCGGAGTCTTGCTTTATTGCCCAGGCTAGAATGCAGTCTAAAAATGGGTATTGAAAACCTCTTTTATACCAATAATTGTGCTTAACAATGGAGACAGGAAGGAATAAGGGAGGAAAATAACAAACAAGCAGCCAACCAATGTTTCATTTAAACCTGTGAAATGCTATGCAATTACTGAGGAGTGATTTACTTCCAATTATGTAGTCGCTTTTAGAGTAGGTGTGATGTGGTACTGATAAGAATGTATGTTTTGTGGATTTGGGGTGGAAAGTTCTATAAATGTTCATTAAGTTTACTTGTTCCGGGTCTGAGTTCAAGTCCTTGTTAATTTTCTGTCTCGTTGATCTGTGTAATATTGACAATGTGATGTTAAAGTCTCCCACTATTGTTGTGTAGGAGTCTAAGTCTCTTTATAAGTCATTAAGAACTTGCCTTATGTATCTGGGTGCTCCTGTATTGGGTGTGTATATATTTAGGATCGTTAGCTCTTCTTGTTGCGTTGATCCTTTTACGGTTATGTAATGTCCTTCTTTGCCTCTTTTGATCTTTGTTGCTTTAAAGTCTATTTTATCAGAGGCGAGAATTGCAACTCCTGCTTTTTATTTATTTTTTTTTGCTATCCATTTGGTTGGTAAATCTTCCTCCATCCCTTTGTTTTGAGTCTTTGTTTATCCTTGCGTGTGAGATGGGTCTCGATGCAGCGTACCAATGGGTTTTGGCTTTTTATCCAATTTGCCTATCTGTGTCTTTTGATTGGGACATTTAGTCAATTTAAATTTAGGATTAATAATAATATATGTGAGTTTAATACTGCCATTTGATGCTAGCTGACTGTTTTGCCCATTAGTTGATGTAGATTCTTCATTATATTGATGCTCTTTACCTTTTGGTATATTTTTGGAATGACTGATAACGGGTTGTTCCTTTCTATGTGTAGTGCTTCTTTCAGAAGCTCTTGTAAAGCAGGCCTGGTGGTGATGAAATCTCTGAGTACTTGCTTGTTCATGAAATATTTTATTTTTCCTTCACTTATGAAGCTTAGTTTGGCTGGATATGAAATTCTGGGTTGAAAGTTCTTTTCTTTAAGGATGTTGAATATTGGCCCCCACTCTCTTCTGGCTTGTAGGGTTTCTGCTGAGAGATCTGCTGTGAGTCTGATAGGTTTCCCTTTGGGGGTAACCTGACCTTTCTGTCTGGCTGCCCTTAGCATTTTCTCCTTCATTTCAACCCTGGTGAATCTGACGATTATGTGCCTTGGGGTTGCTCTTCTTGACGAATATCTTTGTGGTGCTCTCTCTATTTCCTGGACTTGAATATTGGCCTGCCTTGCTAGGTTGGGGAAGTTTTCCTGGATAATGTCCTGAAGAGTATTTTCTAGCTTGGATTGATTCTTTTCGTCACATTCAGGTACACCTATCAAACGTAGATTAGGTCTTTTCACATAGTCCCATATTTCTTAGAGACTTTGTTCATTCCTTTTTACCCTTTTTTCTCTACCCTTTTTTGTCTTCTCATTTTATTTCATTGAGTTGGTCTTCGACCTCTAATATCCTTTCTTCTGCTTGGTCAATTCGACTGTTAAAACTTGTGCATACTTTGCAAAGTTCTCGTATTGTGTTTTTCAGCTCCATTAATTCACTTATATTCCTCTCTAAATTGTCTATTCTCGTTAGCATTTCATCAAACCTTTTTTCAAGGCTCTTAGTTTCTTTGCATTGGGTTAGAACATATTCTTTCAACTCACAGAAATTTCTTATTATCCACCTTCTGAAGCCTGATTCTGACAATTCATCACCCTCATTCTCCATCAGGCCTTGTTCCCTTGCTGATGAGGAGCTGCAATCCCCTGAAGCAGGAGAGGCATTCTGGTTTTGGGTGTTGGTTTCTTCCCATCTTTGTGGATTTATCCACCTGTTCTTTGTAATTGCTGACTTTCAGATTGGGTCTCTGAGTGGATGTCCAGCTTGGTGGTGGTGATGTTATTTCTGTTTCTTTATTTTCCTTTGGCAGATGCCCCTCCCCTACAGACCTGGACCTTCCCGGGTTCAGCTATGCTTGCTGTGAAACTCTCAACCCTCAGGATTTCCAATTGCTGTTTTTTTGTGGGGGTGGGACCAGCCGAGCCTGATCACCTGGCTCCCTGCCTCAGAGCCCCCTTTTTTTCTTTTCCTAATTGAATGGTCGCTTCTCTCCCAGGTGCCCCAGTCGCCCGCCAAAAAGGCACTGGGATCTATGCGATTTCCTGTGCGGTGACCGCGCTGGCTGAAACAGTGGCACTGAGATTTGTGACACTTTTCTGCCTGGGAATCTTCCGGTCTGGCTCCTGGCTTCAGTCCCCTTTTCAATCAGCTGAATGGGTGACTCTGCCTTCCTGGAGCTCCAAACGCCAACTAAAAGGGCACCCAGTCCTGCATATTCCGCACTGAGAACCACTGCACCAGGACGCCAGCAAAACAGCTGTGCGGGCCAAAAGAGTCGTGCTGGCGACCCGTGGGGCTCCTCCGCTGGGAATCTCCTGGTCCGTAGGCAACAAAAATTCGTCTGGAAGTCTGGCGTCCACTCACTCCCTGTGCCTTCACTGGGAGCTGCAATCCTGAGCTGCTGCTAGTCGGCCACCTTGGATCTCTCTCCCCAAGTAACCTTTTTTTTTCTTAGGCAAAGTTTAGACTGTTAGTGTGGTGACACAGTTTCTTTTTCATGTGGTTTTTTGGTTTTTTTTTTTTTTGAGACAGAATCTTACTCTGTTGCCCAGGTTGGATAGCGGTAGCACCTCACAGCCCACTGTAACTTCCACCATCTTGGCTCAAGCGATCCTTCCACCTCAGCCTCCCAAGTAGCTGGGACCACAGTTGTGTGCCACCACACCCAGCTAATTTTAGTATTTTCGTAAAGACGGGATTTCATTAGATTGCTCAGGCTGGTCTCAAACTCTTGAGCTCAGGCCATCTACCTACCTCAGCATCCTAAAGTGTTGGGATTACCGGTATGAGCCACCATGGCTCGTCTTTTTAAAATTTTAGAATGACTTTTCATCTTTTTTTTTTTTTTTTTTTTGAGACGGAGTTTCGCTCTTGTTACCCAGGCTGGAGTGCAATGGCGCCATCTCGGCTCACCGCAACCTCCGTCTCCTGGGTTCAGGCAATTCTCCTGCCTCAGCCTCCTGAGTAGCTGGGATTACAGGCACATGCCACCATGCCCAGCTAATTTTTTTGTATTTTTAGTAGAGACGGGGTTTCACCATGTTGACCAGGATGGTCTCGATCTCTTGACCTCGTGATCCACCCGCCTCGGCCTCCCAAAGTGCTGGGATTACAGGCTTGAGCCACCGCGCCCAGCTGACTTTTCATCTTTTATGTGTGTTTCCGGTTTGTTTGATATGAGGGAAAAATTCTAATACCTTGAGAATCAAGGGGATGGGGATTTTGGTTGTAGGCCTTTTATGATAATTAACCCTGAGTGGTGGTGTAGAAAAATATGTAAATTTTTTTCTGTTTCAAGACTTCAGACTACATCAAGAAGAGGACTGTAATGCAACAGTATTTGTAATGCTTCCAGAGGTCTCAGATGAGGAGTTTTTTGGAAATGGGTTGGAAGAGGATTAAAATATCCTGGGTTAGTGTAGTAATATTACAGTAGGATCCTTAGGTTGATGCTGACTTTTATTTGGGGTAAGTTTATATTTTGTGTGGTGTTTATTTACTTTTTTGAAGAGGAGGATGTAGTAGAAACAGTGTTACAAATCAATTTCAGTAATGGGGTAGACCCTGTTCTCAGTAGGGGTGACTTATGAGGGCCAAAGCTTGCTCCAGTGGTCTCTTTTTGTTTTATTTTCTTTGCTTTTATCTTTTTTGTTTTACATTTTGAGAGAGGAGAGATTTTCTATTAAGGAAGGTTATTGCTAGTGAATTTGATTATTGGGGTGTCACAGTGGGGTTGGAGAGGGACTGCAGCATGACCCTTGTCTACTGACCCTCCACAAAGAGCATGTGGTGCCCCTGCCTTTGGGAAGATAATTTGCTCTCTTGTTAGTTTTGCAGGCTACCTCAGATTCTCTGTTGAATTGCTGTTAAGAAATACAGACCAGCGTTGTTTCTGGACTCTCGTTGGGCGAGGTTTTCCTGAGTTTTATGTCCCTTAGTTCACATCGTGTTACCCAGAACAAATGCTTCACTGTCCTCTGAACAGGCAGTACTCCTGTGGCTCTGTGTCTTGGCCCGTTTAGTTTTCTTCAGCTTGAAGGCCCTTTGCCACACTTACTGACAGCCACTCATGTTCCTGGTATGACCTGGATTGCCGCCTGGTCCCTGAAACCTTCCAGCGCCCATTCTGCAGCATTCCCAGAGCACGGGACTTTTCTCTTTTCTACTGACTTTGCTTGGTTCTCCTTGCGGGTTGGTAACTTCTGTCTCTTTGCCCCTCACTAATTGTTCACCCATGAGAATTAGGTATTATTCCTTTTAAATATCCAGGGACCATATAGTCTTTACTTTTTATACATGATACGTATTACTCTATTTTGTGTGTGCAAGGTATCTGGCACATGGACCTGTGATTACTAGCATGAGGCAAATAAATCTCAGCTAGAATGCACAGGTTAAAGAAAGCTTTTTTTTTTTTTTTGAGACGGAGTTTCACTCATGTTACCCAGGCTGGAGTGCAATGGCACGATCTCGGCTCACCGCAACCTCCGCCTCCTGGGTTCAGGCAATTCTCCTGCCTCAGCCTCCTGAGTAGCTGGGATTACAGGCATGCACCACCATGCCCAGCTAATTTTTTGTATTTTTAGTAGAGACGGGGTTTCACCATGTTGACCAGGATGGTCTCGATCTCTTGACCTCGTGATCCACCCGCCTCGGCCTCCCAAAGTGCTGGGATTACAGGCTTGAGCCACCGCGCCCGTCGCAAAACCTTTTTTTTTTAAATTTAATTTTATTTCTCTTTATAGAGATAGTGTCTCATTATATTGACCAGGCTGGTTTCAAACTCCTGGCCTCAAGTGATCCTCCCATCTCAGCTTCCCAAAGTGCCAGGATTACAGGCATGAACCACTGAGCCCAGCCTAAATAAAGCTTTTAAAAGCTCCGGCAACCTCAAGGTTGTTAACCTGGTCATCTCATGGTAATTAGAAAATCTGATTGGCTGCTTTAGATTTCTTTATTAAAAACCTAAATAAACTGATTAAGTTTTAGGCATTCTTTCAAATGTTTCTTGGTGAAAAGATTGGGAACTATTCTATTTGGTGCTTTATGAAAGTATTTTGAATTAATGTACGTACCAGTTATTGCCATTTCTTAAGTCCAAAAGTTTTTTCTGGTCAAATAAATAGGAATTAACTGGGTATAGTGGCATGCACTGTAGCCCAGCTGCTTAGGAGGCTTAGGTGGGAGGACTGCTTGAGCCTGGGAGATCAAATTTGCAGTAAGCTATTATGTGTTACTGTACTCCAGCCTGGGTGACACAGTGAGACCCTGTCTCAGAAAAAAAAAAAAAAAAAATTGTTGAATGATCCTTTTTTTGTATAAGACTATGTATATATACACACACACACGTTTACATTATATATACACATATAAAAAGCTTATATATACACATGTAAATATGTACAAATGTATATAACGTGTGTGTTTATGAAAGAGTTTTGCAGTATCAGTTCATGGGAATTCATGATTTTCTAACTGCTTTGTCTTAATCTGGTGTCTTCTTGGGGAACTACAGAACCTAATCTTCTTGGGGAACTACAGAACTTGGCCCTACATTATTTATCAAAAGAGACTGATATTACATTAGATTATCCAAAGAGAATTCTGTCTTTGCTGGGTTCCAGGTGCCTTAGGAATGAGTTTTATCTGATATTCCTTCTGATCCTTGTTATCAGCAATATATACTGGCACTACCATCATGATTACTTAACTTTAGTAACATTTCCTGGGAAATTAGTAGATTGCTGTCCCCACTTCCAGGTTATATAGGTATAAGGAGTACTTTTTTGTTATTGTTCACAGCTTCATTGAGTTGCAATTGGCATATAACAAACTGCACATTTTTTTTTTTTTTTTTTTTTTGAGACGGAGTTTCGCTCTTGTTACCCAGGCTGGAGTGCAATGGTGCGATCTCGGCTCACCGCAACCTCCGCCTCCTGGGTTCAGGCAATTCTCCTGCCTCAGCCTCCTGGGTAGCTGGGATTACAGGCACGCGCCACCATGCCCGGCTAATTTTTTGTATTTTTAGTAGAGACGGGGTTTCACCATGTTGACCAGGATGGTCTCGATCTCTTGACCTCGTGATCCACCCGCCTCTGCCTCCCAAAGTGCTGGGATTACAGGCTTGAGCCACCGCGCCCGGCCCAACTACACATATTTTTAAGGGTACAGTTTGATGAGTTTTGACAGAATATACTTGTACCTGTGAAAAAATCACTGTGATCAAGATATGAACATAACTGTTACCACCAAAAGTTGCCTTGTGTTCCTTTGCAGTCCCTCCCTCTCTCCTATATTCTTTTCCTTCCTTCTGCTTGCCCCCAACCCTGCATTTTATAGAATTTTATTTTATTTTAGAGACAGAGTCTCACTGTGTTGCCTAGGCTGGACTCAAACTCCTGGGATCATGTGATCCTCCCACCTCAGCCTCCTGAGTAGCTAGGATTATGTAAAAATTTATTTTATGTTATTTTATTTTGGAGACAGGGTCTGGCTCTGCCACCTAGGCTGGAATGTAGTGTCGTGATCTTGGCTCACTGCAACCTCTGCCTCCTGGGCTCAAACCATCCTCCCACCTCAGCCTCCTAAGTAGCTGAGACTACATGGTCACACCAGCACACCCGGCTAATTTTTGTATTTTTTGTACAGGCAGGGTTTTGCCATGTTGGCCAGGCCTCAAGTGATCTGCCTACCTTGGCCTCCCAAAGTGCTGGGATTACAGGCATGCGTTAGTGTACCCAGCCTATGTAAATTTTATATAAATGAAATCATATTGTATATACTGTTGTTTTGGCCTACCTTTTTTTCACTCAACATCATTATTTCACTGCTGTATGTCTTTTCATTTTCAGTTTATAATAGGGTGGATTACATTGATTTTTGTACATGTTGAACTAACATTGCATTCCTGGGATAAACTCCATTTGGTCATAATGTATTATCCTTTTTATATATTGTTGAACTGAATTCACTAAAATTTTGTTTAAAATGTTTGCATCTGTGTTCATGAAGGATTTCAGTCTGTAGTTTTCTTGTTACATCTTTGGTTTAATATAAGATGGGACATGTTCTGTCCTTTTTTCTGGGAGTGTTTGTTTAGTGTTGGTATTATATTTCATTACATATTTGGTAGAATTTACCAGTAATACTTTTTTAGCTGTTTTTATTTTATCTTTTGCTTTTCTCCTTACCTAGTTTGGTATGATGGCAAAGATATGATATGTGAAAGATGCAAGACCTTCCAGTGTAGCTTTTCTACCCTTCATAGAATTTATAGCGTATTTAAAGAATAATTCACATAAAGGTTGGGCACAGTGGGTCATGCTTGTAATCCCAGCACTTTGGGAGGCCGAGGCAGGTGGATCACTTGAGGTCAGGAGTTTGAGATCAGCCTGACCAACATGAAGAAACCCCGTCTCTACGAAAAATACAAAAAATGGTCAGGTGTGGTGGCGGGCCCCTGTCATCCCAGCTGCTTGGGAGGCTGAGACACAAGAATTGCTTGAAGCTGGGAGGCGGAGGTTGCAGTGAACCGAGATCATGCCACTGCACTCCAAACTGAACAGAGCAAGACTCTTTCTCCAAAAAAAAAAAAAAGAAAAGAAAAAGTAATAATAATTCACATAAAATGTCAATAGTGTTTATCTCTGGGAGTCAAACTTTAAAAAAAAAAAATAGAAAACACCAAAGCTAATTTAATTTGAAAAATATAGGTTTGCCAGGTGAGTTGGGTGGCTCATGCTTGTAATCTCAACGCTTCAGGAGGCCGAGGTAGGCGGATCTCGAGGTCAGGAGTTTGAGACAAGCCTGGCCAACATGGCAAAATCCTGCCTCTAATAAAAATACAAAAATCAGCTGGGCGTGGTGGTGGGCACTTGTAATCCCAGCCAATCAGGAGGCTGAGGCAGGAGAATGGCTTGAACCTGGGAAGCGGAGGTTGCAGTGAGCTGAGATTGCGCCGCTACAGCCTGGGCAACAAGAGAAACTCTGTCTCAAAAAAAAAAAAAAGGTATTCTAGTTTCCTTACATGGTCCTTACCTTCAGGATCTTAACAGTTTATGATCCAGAAGAAGAATCTTAGTCATTGTTGGACATACTCTAGGGGTCTCTGTTTGGTTTCAGATTTATCACACACCAAGAATTGTGGCTTCCTATGGCATAGTCTACCCTGGTTCTAGCAGGCCAGGCACAACCCTATCCCATAATAGAGTGTGACTAACCAGTTTCTGGTACTAGGTGAGTGTCTAGACTACCTAGGTTAGGTGCAGTTTGCTGCAGTGGGGCTTACTGGTGTCTTGGTTAAAGGAGTCTCCCAAGCACTGTCTATCATCAAAGGAGAAATAAGTTGAACTAAAGAGTAAGGAAAAGGTGACCTGTAGGTCCATTTCTAAGGTCAGGAAATGATAATCAGTAAGTTATTAGGAAGGCAGAGCCCTTTGTATCAGTCCATTATCATATTGCTATAAATAACTACCTGAGGGTGGGCACGGTGGCTCACGCCTATAATCCCAGCACTTTGGGAGGCCGAGATGGGCGAATCACCTGAGGTCAGGAGTTCGAGACCAGCCTGGCCAACATAGTGAAACCCTGTCTCTACTAAAAATACAAAAATTAGGGGTGGTGGTGTGGCCTGTAATGCGAGCTACTAGGGAGGCTGAGGCAGGAGAATTGCTTGAACCCGGGTGGTGGAGGTTGCAGTGAGCTGAGGTTGCACCACTGCAGCCTGGGCAACAGAGTGAGACTCCATCTCAAAAAAAAAAAAAAAAAAAAGAAACAAAAAGAACTACAGCTAGTGCTTGACTTACGACCACGATTGGTTCCGACAGACTGATCGTAACACGATTTGGTCGTAAATTGAGTAAGCTATATGTACAGTACTGTGAAATGATGTTATAAAAATCTTTAAGTCATATTTTATCATAATTTTCTTTCATTACTGTTATATATCATAATTTTCTTTGTTCATTTTATGCCATTTGTATCATCTCTACACCATTTTGTTTATTTTTACATTTGTCCGGTTTTAAGTAAAACACTGCATTACCAGTACAACTGGTTTAATATTTGCAAAACATACAAAATTACAAAATACAGGTGCATACAAAAATACAAAATACAGATGTAAAAAATACCATAGGAAACATTTTCCCAATTGCAAAACATATCAAAATATATAAACATGTACGAAACATTTTACTGGCCGCTGGTGGTTGGCTGCGGATCGTTGATGTCGTCATCTGAGGCAGCAATTGGGGTTACCGGAGTTGGTTTTTTCATAAACATGGTGAGCTTTGCCTGAATTGTATGTTTCTTTTTTTCTTCATACATTTCACGATACGGATGAAACACATCGTGCGCCATCCGTTCAATCCTTGCAAATCGTTCGATGTTTGGGTCCATTGCTTTGAAATGTATGAGAAGTTTATTGGGAGGGGTTTGATAAAAAAATATCCAAGACACAAAACACCAATTGCTGTACCGAGTCTGGGATAACAGTTGAAATGGTGCACGTGGAGATGGTAATGCTGCCAGAAGCTGGTCCACGCTGTCGTATGCCCAGCTGGGCAATGTTTGCGCTGCCAGATGCGGAGCAGTCGTGGCTAGCGATTGTGGTCGTAAAGTCGAATGGTCGTAAGTTGCATAGGTCGTAAGTCGATCAATACCTGTACCTGAGACTAGGTACTTTATAAAGAAAAGAAGTTTAATTGGCTCACAGTTCCACAGGCTAGGGAGACCCCTCCTACTTACAATCATGGTGAAAGGGGAAGGGGAAGCCCAAACGTACTACATGGCTGGAGCAGGAAGGGGAGAGAGAAAAGGGGGAGTGCTGTACACTTTCAGACAACCAGATGTCGTGAGAACTCAGTATCAAGAGAACAGCCACAGGAAATCCACCCCCATGATCCAGTCACCTCCCACAGGCTCCTCCACCAACATTGAAGATCACAATTCAACATGAGATTTGGGTGGGGACACAGAGCCAAACCGTATCACCCTTCAGTCTTCTCTTACTTACAAGGTTTATTAAGGTCCTCTGTTACATTCAAGCCTCTATTACTTATGTAGTTTGCAGGACCTCATAAGTAATGTAGAGGAGGGAACTGTCCAATCTCACAACATTATCAGTATGACCTATAGTCCTGGACATTGAGACTGATCATGTCACTTAAAAAAAATTATACAATGGATATATCATGTGAAGCCAGAAGACCAAAAGAGCTATGTTCCAGTGGAATGATCAAGTCACTTTTTTTTTTTTTTTTCTCAAATAGGTACAAAGTCTCACTATGTTGCCCAGGCTGGTCTCGAACTCCTGGGCTCAAGCCTCAGCCTCCCAAAGTGTTGAGATTACAGGCACGAGGCACAGCTCCTGCCCAAAAGATTTTTTTATTGGGGACCAAGTCTTGTTCTGTTGCCCAGGCTGGAGTGCAGTGGCTGGGATTTATAGGTACACACCACCATGTCCAGCTAATTTTTGTATTTTTAGTAGAGACAGGGTTTCACCATGTTGGTCAGGCTGGTCTCGAACTCCGACCTCATGATCTGCCTGCCTCGGCCTCACAAAGTGCTGGAATTACAGGTGTGAGCCACCGCGCCTGGCCCAAAAGATTTTTAAAACAAAATGCGTGATATAGTGATATATATGCTTGTATAGTAACACATTATTTAATGTGTCTAATATCTTTTTTTTTTTTTTTTTTTTTGAGACGAAGCCTTGCTCTTGTCACCCAGGCTGGAGTGCAGTGGCATGATCTCAGCTCACTGCAGCCTCCACCTCTCAGGTTCAAGCAAGTCACCTGTCTCAGCCTCCTGAGTAGCTGAGATTACAGGCTCCTGCCACCGTGCCTTGCTAATTTTTGTATTTTTAGTAGAGACACCATGTTGATCAGGCTGGTCTTGACTCCTGACCTGATCTGCCTGCCTTGAACTCCCAGAGTGCTGGGATTACAAGTACAGGCATGAGCCACTGCACCCAGCCTAATGTGTCTAATATCGTTGAGGATTTTAAAGTAATGAGTGTAAATGATATTTTGAGATAGCTGCAAACCAGCATGATAGAAAGGTTTTTTTTTTTCATTTCTATTGTTCACAAAGTCCTAGGTACTATAATATTGCTGCAGATTGTTTCCTGTGTTCATAATGAAAAGAAATGCTATATTTTAGTAGGAGATTAATGAAAATAAATTTGTATTTTTTTCCCTATCCAAATTCACGGACTTTGAATTCTCTTCATGGATTCCTTGGGGTGCTTAGACTTGAGGTTAAGTAAGAATTTCTGCATTAAAAACTCTGTTTTCTTTTTCTTTTTCTTTTTTTTTTACGGTGAATATATTTTTTATTTAGTCATTCTGTTTACAGTTGAAACTCTGGGAATTCAAATTTAACATCCTTGCCCGTGAGCTTCTTATAGACACCAGAAAAAGTTTCAACCTTGTGTTCCACATTGTTCTGCTGTGCTTTGTCCAAATGAACCTTTATGAGCCGGCTGCCATCCAGTTTCACGTGGATTCTCTTGCCCACAATTTTACTTGGGAAGACCAGGTCCTCAAGGATTGCATCATGCACATCTGTCAGTGTATATGGCTCCTGGGACGCTTTTGTTTATTTTTCGTACGGCTTTTTCGAGTTGGCTTAGGCAGAATTCTCCTCTGAGCAATAAAGACAACATGCTTTCCACTGAACTTTTTCTCCAATTCGCGTACTAGCCGGACTTGGATTTTCTGGGAAGATTTTAGTTGAGGAACAGGAACAAAGATTATGATAGCTTTCTGGCCACCACCAACTTCAATTTCCTTGGCTGCCATAATATTCAGCTCCCTGAGCTGAGCCTTGAGGTCCGAGTCCATCTGCAGCTCCAGAAGAGCCTGGGAGATGCTGGACTCGAACTCGTCTGGCTTCTCGCCATTGGGCTTCACGATGTTGGCACTCGAACTGAACATGGCTTTGTCCTTGGTGAGCGCTGACTTAGGAAAAGACCCAAATCTCGCGAGAGCACGTCAAAATAAAAAAAAACTGTTTTCTTAACCTGTTCCTTCCCCAGGGAAGTAGCAAAAGATGATAGAAGCCCAGCCTCAGAAGTATCCTTGTGACTATTTCAAGGGAGGTGAGGTAGACTAACCCCACTACATACATACTTTTTTTGTTTGAGTCAGAGTCTCACTCTGTAACCCAGGCTGGAGTGCAGTGGCATAATCTCGGTTCACTGTAACTTTCCACTTCCTGGGTTCAAGCAATTCTCCCGACTCAGCCTTCCAAGTAGTTGGGATTACAGGCGTCTGCCACCACACCTGGCTAATTTTGTTTTGTATTTTCAGTGGAGACGGGATTTCACCATGTTGGCCAGGCTGGTCTCGACTTCCTGACCTCAAGTGATCTGCCAACCTTGGCTTCCCAAAGTTCTAGGATTACAGGTGTGAGCCTATTTCTTTTTTTAAAAAAAGGCCTCTGGAAGAGAGTGTAGTGTTTTGAAAGCATTATGTGTTTTTGATTCATCTTTGTCTATTATCTCAGAAATCTCAGCATGGCTCAGCTGATTGCCAATTACTCAAAGGCCTTCATCATATTGTTGAACTGCTGGGGCTCACAGTAATACTTGAAGGCTGAGGCGGCAGGAGGATCCACTTCTAACTTACTCACATGGTTGTTGGCAGGAGTCATTTCCTCACAGGATTTTTGACTGAGGGCCTCAGACTGTTGAACTGTCTCATTGCCTTTCCATATGGGCCTCTCCATAGGGTGGCTCACAACATGGCAGCTGGCTTCTCTAAGAAAAGGCAGGCAAGGCAAGAGAGAGCACCTAAAAAGAAAGCCAAGGGTTTTGTTAGCTAATCTTGGAAATGACTTTCCATAACTTCTGTGATATTCTAGTGATTAGAAGCACATCAGTAAAACCAGCCTGTACTCAAGGGGAAGAGATTACCTAAGAGCATGAATACCAGAAAGCAGGAGTCATTGGGGGTTCATTTTAGCAGCTACCTGCTGTACTACATAAGGTTAGTGTCATTGGGAATAATTAATTCATTGGTAATCCAACTCCACTATTTGATATGTAAGTATTGACTTTAAAACTATGAAAGTTACTTTAATTGGAAGTCTTATGTTATTGTTTGTTTCTGTTTTTCCTTATTTTCCAGAATAACCTGGGTATCTTGTGGTCTGAAAGAGAAGAAATTGAAACTGCACAGGCTTACCTAGAGTCATCAGAAGCACTATATAATCAATATATGAAAGAGGTATGTTACATGTCAGATAATTTTTAAGTTTTGATTGAAAACTAGTCAAGAATTGATAGTAAGAATTCCTCATTTGTAATATTGGTGTGACTCTTCACTGTGCACAGGAACTTCTCTATAGAGCTATCTGGGAAGCCACCTAATAGCTGAAATTATTGCATATTAAGGACTTTGGGGTTTTAAAAAAATAATCCTTGGATAGGACATAATGGCAACCTAGTCTAAATATAAAAGAAATATTATTCTAATATTATCCCAAAATACTATTTGCATGTTTTTGTACTTATAATCTAAACATTCTGTTTTGGTTTTCAATGAAAATAGCACTATTTGACGGAAGCAAGAACTGCTTTAACAAAACATTTGAAATCTTTGAAGCAGTGGTTCTCAAACAGCACCCATTAAAATCTCCTGGAGAGCTTGTGAAAGCACAGCAGACTGGGCTTTCAGTCTCTGATTTAGTAGTTCTGGGGTGAGGCCTAGGAATTTGCATTTTTGACAAGGTCCTCAGTAATGCTTATGCTGTTGTCCTAAGTACTGTACTGTACTGTACTTTGAGAACCATTGCTTTGGGCAATAGTTTTTCAATTTTTTTTTTTTTTTTTTTTACCTGTGAAACCCTTCTGAAAATACAGCATATAAAAATTGATTTGAGGCTGGGCACGGTGGCTCACGTCTGTAATCCCAACACTTTGGGAGGCTGAGGTGGGCGGATCACCGAGTTCAGGAGTTTGAGACCAGCCTAACCAACATGGAGAAACCCCATCTCTATTAAAAATGCAAAATTAGCTGGGCGTGGTGGCACATGCCTATAATCCCAGCTAATTGAGAGGCTGAGGCAGGAGAATTGCTTGAACCTGGGATGTGGAGGTTGTGGTGAGCCGAGATCGTGCAATTGCACTCCAGCCTGGGCAACAAGAGCAAAACTCCGTCTCAAAAAAATAAAATGGATTGAGTTACTCTGGTTAAGGAGGTTAGAAGAACCCAGAGCCCAGTCCACTACAGATTCTTCCTTCTTCCCCACTTCAGTAGTACAAAAGAGATGCTGTAGAACTTCTAGGGGTCTGGGGAGCCAATGCTGAAAACCCTCACTTTAGGGGTCACAGCATGTAAAGGTGACAAGCCACTGTGTTACCATCTGTTTCTTTAATAAACTTTTTTTAATATGAAAGAGAAATTATCAGGCACAATATTTTGCTGTGGATTACTATTTGTCACATCTATCTGCTTTAAAAATCCATCAATATCGCTGGGCATGGTGGCTCATGCCTGTAATTCCAGCACTTTGGGAGGCTGAGGCAGGTAGATCTCTTGAGGTCAGGAGTTCGAGACCAGCTTGGGCAACATGGTGAAACCCCATTTTTACTAAAAATACAAAACAGCCGGGTGTGGTGGCGCACACCTGTAGTCCCAGCTACTCAAGAAACTGAGACAGGAGAGTCGCTTGAACCTGGGAGGCAGAGGCTGCAGTGAGCCGAGATCGCGTCACTGCACTCCAGCCTGGGCGACAGAGCAAGACCCTGTTTCAAAAAAAAAAAATCCTGGTCAACATGGTGAAACCCCGTCTCTACTAAAAATACAAAATATTAGCTGGGCATGGTGGCGCGTGCCTGTAATCCCAGCGAGTCAGGAGGCTGGGGCAGGAGAATTGCCTGAACCCGGGAGGCGGAGGTTGCGGTGAGCCGAGATCGCGCCATTGCACTCCAGCCTGGGTAACAAGAGCGAAACTCCGTCTCAAAAAAAAAAAAAAAAAAATCCATTAATAAAGTGTTTTTATAACATTATAAAACTCGAAATAACATTATATATCATATAAAAGAGACTAAACACAGAATTATGTTTGCTAAATTCAGGCATCAGAATGCCTGACTATAAAAGGATATGAGAAGCTTGTATGCCTTTAATCCCAGCACTTTTGGAGGCCGAGGCTGGAGGGTCACATGAACCCAGGAGTTTGAGACCAGCCTGGGCAACATAGCAAGATCTCATCACTACAAAAAATTTAAAAATTTGCCAGACGTGGCAGCACACACCTATAGTTCTAGCTACTTGGGAGACTGAGGCAGGAGTGTCACTTGAGCCCAGGAGTTTCAGGTTGCTGTGAGGTATCATTGATCCACTGTACTCTAGCCTGGGTGACAGAGCAAGATTATTTTTTGTTTGTTTGTTTTTGTTTTTTAAAACAAGCTTGGAAAAATTTTATTTTATATTTTATTTATTTATTTTTGGGGACGGAGTTTCGCTCTTGTTACCCAGGCTGGAGTGCAATGGCGCAATCTTGGCTCGCCGCAACCTCCGCCTCCTGGGTTCAGGCAATTCTCCTGCCTCAGCCTCCTGAGTAGCTGGGATTACAGGCACGCGCCACCATGCCCAGCTAATTTTTTGTATTTTTAGTAGAGACGGGG